GACACACTTGTCTTCTTCCTTGAGACACAGGTCTTTTATCCACCAACTATCACCTATTGCCATACCATAAAATAAATTTATTATTAGATTGTCTAAATACTTTCAGACTCAGAGCATGAATCCAAAGATAAATCAATTACTATAAAAATTATAACATCTACTTGTGATACATTGGACAAATCAAACCTTTATTACAGGAAAGATCGATGTCTTCATCAACTTTTATGACTGATAAACTGTTACTTTTTGCTGCACCTCTAACCATAGGCGGCTGCAGGGTCGGGCATTTAGGGGCAATGCCCGACCAAAAATTCTGACCGGAAGTGTGACATCACCATAATTAATAGTTATTCTATGGTTAATTAATAGTTAATAACAGTTATTGCAATTATAATTTCAATTTTTTATGAAAATCTTATAATTATGAATGCATAAATGGCAGGCTGATAACAAGGTGATGAAGAGAGACTAAATAAAGGAGGAGCTCGAGGTGGTAAGACTTTGGTGCCAATCACAGTGGGCCACCACAGCAACACTAGAAAGCATAATCATTTCATTATTTAGTGCTATTTCAGTGTTCTTTTCTTGTCAGTTGCAATGTCTAAAAGCCTGGACTAGGCTTCGCTAAGTCCTTTGTGAACAAGCCTGCTAAAAAGGAACAACAGTTTACAACTGAAGTGAACCTAGTAAGTACAGTATAGAAGTCAATAATACAGATTATCTCATATTCTTACTTTAGGTCAGTTTCTTGCTGAGAGTTGATGATCATGAGTCTCAGTCTACTCTTGTGGTTGATACAGCTACAGTTTTTACAGCTACAGTTGATGTACAGTCAATTGTTGCTCATTCTCCATCACCCTATTCTTCTACTTCCTCTACTAATACTACTACTAGTACTATTACCACTACAGAAGTCAGTGTTGGAGCTACACCACCCACTACTTTATTACAATAACCTTCGCTACCAAAAAATTGTGCTAAAAAGGGTGCGTAAAAAAGGGTGTGGCCAAAATCGCAGCGCGCTTCGTGCGCCCAACCCATTTCCTGTGCCACACCCATGCCCGACTAGTAGTCAAATCCTGCAGCCGCCTATGTCTTAGCTCCACGACCACTCACAACTTTCAAAGATTTAGGATTCAATGGGAGTCCTGTTTCATCACAGTTGAATATGCAAGTTGGATTGTTGAATAGAGAATTTTCTTTAAGTGTGTCTTCAATTTAAGTATATCAAAATACTTTTGTATGACACTATTATCAGTGGCCATGGCTCTCAAAAGAC